ATATAAGCATAACCAATGGACATAAGACACTGGGGGATAGGGGAGGCTAGGGGACTGTCTAGGGCGGGGGGAAAAAATGGACACATATGTAATACCCTTTGTAATACTTTAAGGAATAAAAAAAAAAAAAAGAATTAAAAAGTTCACCAAACTGTTTCAGACAAGGAAATCATTTTAACTTTCTCTTGTGGGGTTTACATGGCCTTCACTTTAAGACGAGAGCCTTCATACACAGAATGGGAAGCTGAATTAAACGGTGCTCGTCGTGGCCTCTGCATGCGCTCTTCAGTGTCCGGCACACGTCCTGATAGTAACAAACACCAGTTTTAGAGGCCATCCAAGCTCTGCACACACCTCCGGTGTCTGAAAGACAGCTTTCTTACTCTGGTTAACATTGCGCTGTGACATCCACATGGCATGTGCTGCATTTAAAAATGTGTGTTTGTATGAAAACTGAGCCCTTTTATTTTTTTCACTTCCCCTTTCAAAGAAGGAAGAGATAAATCATGAGAACAGAACTGATATTAGGAATTTGGTTCCAAAACACAGAAGCTTCCAGGGAATGTGATGAAGTCCATGTAGGTAAAACGGAACTGATCTTTCTATTTCATCCTGAATGATTATTTGGTTCAGAATGAGGACACTGAAAATAGCAAATTATCCAAGAAAAATATTATTTTTTTCTTTTCATGCTTCAGTTTATTGATACCTAATCTCGTTTCATAAAAGATGACGTTTTCGCCTGCTGGCGTGGCTCAGTGTTGGGTGCCAACCTGTGGGCTGTGTGTGTGTGTGTGTGGGGGGAGGGGGGTTGAGGTTCAATTTCCGACTGGGGCACATGCCCGGGTTGCGGGATCCGACACCAGTGAGGGGCATAGGAGATGAGTAGCCGATTGGTGGTTCTCTCTCATCATTGCTGTTTCTAACTCTCTTGCCCTTCCTCTCTGAACTCAATTAAAAAATATATATTAAAAAAAAAAGAAAAAGATGACCTTTTCACCCTGGCTGGTTGGCTCAGTTGGTTGGAACATCATCAGAAACACCAAAAGGTTGCAGGTTCAATTCCCATCAAGGAACCTGTAAGAAGCAACCAATGAATGAATAAATAAGTGGCACAACAAATCGATGCTTCTCTCTCTCTAAAAGTCAATAAACATATCCTCAGGTGAGGATAAAGGGGGGGAAAAGGATGATGTTTCCCATCTTGCACATGTTTAATGATTGAATAAACATTCTTGAATATTTCAAAATGTACAAGAGTCCTAGTCAGTTTGCTCAGTGGTTAGAGTGTCGGCCTACGGTCTGAAGGGTCCTGGTCAAGGGCACGTTTTTTGGTTGCAGGCTTGATCCACGGCCCCGGTCTGGGCATGTGCGGCGGCATCCAATCCATGTATTGCTCTCACATCGATGTTTTTCTTTGTCTCTACCCCTCCTTTCCACTCTTTCTAAAAATCAAAGAAAAAGATATCCTCAGGTGAGGATTAACAACAACAACAAAAAGAATGAAAAGGGACAGATCCAAAGACTGAGAAACAGCGATCAGGCTATCAATCCCCAGAAGGAAGGTAGGGGAGGGCGGGGGTAAGGGGAAGAGATCAACCGAAGGACTTGTATTCATGTATATAAGCCAAACCAATGGACATGGACAACAGGGGGATGGGAGGAGGTTAGGGGTTAATGGGGGAGATCAGGACACATTTGTAATACCTTACCTAATAATAAAATTAAAAAAACCCCTCAAACTAGGATGATACTAGATTTATGGCTATATTCACAGAAATACAACTCTTGTGTTTTAAAAAAAAAGAGAGAGAGAGAAAGATTTATATAGACATATAAGTATTTTAAACGGTGTATTTAAAATATGTTAAAGATTAAACTAAACTTTTGTTTGTGGACACTAGTAACTATAAAATATAATTATGTCAAATATATGTTTTCTCAAGCATTGTGGCTAGATCTGATTTGCTGTTGCTTGATTGCGTTTTTCTCCTTTTTTATGTTTTGCTTTTTAAAAAAATATATTTTTATTGATGTCAGAGAGGAAGAGAGAGAGAGAGATAGAAACATCAATGAGAAGAGAACCATTGATTGGCTGCTTCCTGCATGGCCCCTACTGGGTGGGCATTGAGAGCTGCAACCCGGGAAACGTGCCTTTGACTGGAATGGAACCCGGGACCCTTCAGTCGGCAGTCTGATGCTCTATCCACGGAGCCAAACTGGCTAGGGTTATGTTTTGCTTTGTAAAAACTTTTATTTATTTATTTATTTTAGAGAGAGGAAGGGAGAGAGAAGCATCAATTTGTTGTTCCACTTATTTATGCATTCATTGATTGCTTCTTGTGTATGCCCTGACCAGGGATTGAACCCACAACCTTGGCATATCCGGAGGATGCTGTAGCCAACTGAGTGACCTGGCAAGGTTGTTTGTTTGTCTGTCTTCTCGATTTTTGATTGTTTCTAGTTTGCCTGTTGGTTGTTTTTTCTATCGCTGTTTTTTAAGATAGTAACTATGCATCCTTTAGCTAGTGAATAAAATCCTTCAAGTTTTAACATTTTATGGTTTCAATTTATAAGCATTTAAAATGAACTGAAATGAATGTGCTCCAAGCTCTCGCGCGCAGCCCTGACCCTTAAGCATACATAATATTTTCTCCCTGAGCTGACCTACATAGGGATCCCCAACGTGTTTGCGTTTGCGTTGCAGCCACTGAGTTGGTTCAAAGAGTTAAAGGAAGCATTCATGAGCAGAAGGAAAGTGTTGACCCCCGATTAATGTCACACACCTTTCTCCGCGGCTTCCTGTCAGCCCAAGTCTCTGTACTGAGACTCGCGACTCTCACCTACCCTCCTGGCACAAACTGAAAAAATCCTGCCCCTGGGACAGAGGTCAGCGAGCCACCTTCATGGAAGGTTTGCAGGCTGGCTTGACGCCTGGAGGCAGCACAGAATAATGAGTCAGCAGGGCCGCTGAGCGGTGTGATCTCTGGCAGGTTGGTTAACATTTCTGTGCCTCCGTTTACTCCCCTGTACAATGGGATCTGTCCCTTAGGGCGGCAGGAAGGGCGCACGGAGCTAATGCAGAGAAAACACTTGGAAGAGCAAGACATGGGCCTGTGTGCCCGGAGAGCGTGGTGAGGCCTGGGGACAAGCCCCCCTCCCCCAGTGGCTACTGCTCTGAAATCAGAGTCCATGCGGGAGGAGGATCTGGAACCTTGGGAGGAGGTGGGGGGGGGGGGCGGTTACTAAAAGAACAAAGCTTTCTTTTACTGCTGTCGAACATGGAATGGTGCGCGGAGGACGGCTCTTCTGCACGGTAGGAGTGCCGGCGAGGGACAGAAAATGCTGACTTCTGCCGCCGGCCGCGCGGGAGGAGGGACTCGCAGCAGAGCAATAAGCCATGTTCCTCCTGCGCAGCCCGTCCCGCTCCCGCGACTGTCAACGCCGTGACGGGCCGTTCAAGGTCTCCCGGGCACTTTACGGAAAGCCCAGGAGAACGGCTGCACCCGGACCATCCGTTTGTAACCGGTGCTGCCGCGCGCGGGCTAAGAGAGCCCTCAGCCACTGTCCGGCTTGTCCTGAAACTGCAGCCTTTTTTCCTGTTGGGCCAGTGATAACCACCCATTGTGTGACTTACGCAGTGTGAGTTACCAAAAAATGAGAGGCTTTAAAAATAATATGTTTTTGTCCTAAATGACAAAAGAAAAGATCATTGTAAAAAAAACGTGAAAAATATACACACCGAGAGGAAGTTAAAAATCATTGGATCCCTCTCCCTTCCTCTCTGTAAAAAAATCAATAAAATATATTTAAAAAAATAATTGGGAATGTTTAATAACATCTCAGCGGAGGAGAAAGGGTTTGAAAAAGTCCCTCCTCTGTGGTGCAGAATCTGGGATTTTTTTTTTAAGATGTTGGGATAAAATAATAGCAAAATAAACTCAAGGAGAAAAAGAGGAAGCCGTTCTGCACAAATACTAGAACTGAGACCACTTCCTTCTCAAGTGGGTACATCCTCCACTGTGAGCAAGGACAGGATCTTCAAGGTAGGAAGTAGAAACAAGACGAATATTCCTTGGGAATTCTGGGCTGGCTTACATAGCAACAGACCTAGGAGGTCCCGGAGTCCGGATACACAGCAGAGAGCATTCACGCCCAGGTTCCAGGGGACAGGACGCGGGGGCGGGGTGCGGGGGCCCAGCGCTCTGCCCGGACCCTGGACTGCAGTCTGGGCTCTGCAATTGATTAACTCTGTGACCTTGGGAAGGTGACGGTCTCTCTGAGGTCCCCTCTCTAAAACTCGCAGAGTGATATTAAGGCAACGTGCCTGTAAAATAATTTTAACACAACCAGGGGGCACGGTTCCAAGCTTTTCTGTATTATTGTCTGGATCAAAACATTGCTTCTTGTTGTCGACATTATTTATCTCCATGGATTTCCAGCTGTTTGTGAAGGCGAAATAAGCCGCTTCCAATGGGCCTATTCAGGAACTTTGATGGTTTACCCTCGTGCATTTCTCCAAAGTCATGTGTTGAGAAACAGGTCCCCAGAAATATGCTTCCTCAGCCTGAAAGAGAGGAGGTGACGCTGTCCTGAGGCTAAAGCCACCTCCCTCGAAGGTATGTTTGGTTTTTTAATTTTATTTTTCAATTACAGTTCCCTTTCCATAGTCACCTCGCTCACAGTTTCTTCCTGACCCACGCATGTGCTGGCTGCCTTTGGACACGGATAAACGTGTCCTCCTCACAAATACTTAAGTGCTCTTGATAAACGGATCAAGAAGTTGGTATTTCCACACCAAACACATCCTCATCTGTATCCCATCTCTGGCCAAATTCGGGCTCTGGCCCTGAATGTGCAACGTCTCCAAAAAACACGCCTGCCTATCTGGGAGCCCACACCCTTTTGCTGTCCCACATGAAACCTGGCGGCAGGCCAAGGGTATGGCCAAAGAGAGGCTGTGCCAGAGCAAATTAATCACTGCCCCCTCCCCCCAGGAAGGGACAGAACCCCCCTTCCCCCCGGGGGCGCTGCTGAGCCCGCCACCCTGCTGGACATCCCTCAGGGCATCAGGAGTCTGTTCCATTCCTCCAGCTACTGGTTGGCTTCTCTGAGCCTGCTTTTGGCACAGGTAGGAGAGGAGGAGGGAAAAAAATGGTGTAAGCAAGTTTCGAAATCTTAGATCATTTCATGAATGACTCAGTGTTTCCTTCTGGAAAAGTGCAATAATGGGCTTTCATTAATAACTTAGCTCTGAAAGAGGTTCTAAACATGGAGGAGCCTTGGTGCTCTCTGAACCCAGCGTCCTCCCTCCAGCCTCCATTTTTCTGGCCTCCCCAGGACTTTTATTCACTGGATAACGGGGGCTTGTTGAAAAATAACCTGTCATAGACTTCCTCCTTCAGGCTTCCTGTTCTTTCTGAGAAAAGTACCGAGGTTGTCTCTTTCTTTCTCTTTTCTTTTTCTATTTAAAAATATTCAAAATATAATGTATCAAATTGACACAACCTTAAACTCACACAATATGAACCAATTACATTTTAATAAGAGACTAGAAGAGAATAGCCTGGTATTTATTTATTTCTAAAATGAGAATGTCATACAGTGGATTGCTTTAGTGTGTGAAATACATAACTAAATATGTTTCAAATATTATCTTTAATTTGGCTACATTTCAATTTTAGAATTAACGGGGAAAAAACAACAACAACAAGGAAAACAAATAAGAGCTCTGTGTCTTCCTGCCTCTGCACATCAACAGCCCTAAGTTTTGATTCAGAAGAAAGACATCCAGGCTTCCGGGCCGGGGACTCCAGCTCAGAGCCTAACGCAGAGGACGTCTCCAGTGACTCATTACTGGAATAAATGTTGCTAATGTAAAAGGTATGCAAATAGAGCTTAAACGCTTAAACGGGTGAAGGAAGACGCTGCAATCCGATAAATAACATCCAGAATGTTACTGTGGTTACGGTGGACTCTATTTGCATACAGGCTTATCTTGTTTTTAAAGCAGGAGGGGGGGGGGGGAGAAAAATCCCAACTTTCGCCTCCTGTTCTCAAAGTCCAATCTCTGAAGAAGGCCTGGCCTTTCAAGCCATGTTAACCAGCAAGAAGTGCTTTGTGTGGCAGAATCCAAAACACATCCAACACATTTGCTAGTATGTAGAATGCAAACACGGGCTAGCCTCAGGTCATCTTACTGAGAGAATTGCACAATCAAACTTTTTGTCATCCAGGGTGGTGTGCTGGGTCAGGACTGATCTGTCACTACCCCGGTTTCAGGAGTGGCCCTGCCCAGTGGCTGGACTCATCACTAGTGGGTCCCTGGCTCCTCTTCCAACTCAGACTGAGAGAGAATGAAATAGAGAGAGAGAGAGAGAGAGAGAGAGAGAGAGAGAGAGACGCCCCATAGTAGATCCTGAGCTCTATCTCAAATTACAGATCTTGCAGCGCCGAGAGTCCTGTGAATGAAAGCCAGGATGACTCGTCATTTGGGAAGGAGAGCTCACACTGCGTCTTATTTACGCCTGTGTAGGCATGTGTTTGCCCATGTTGGGCTCTGGAAAAAGCCGTGCTTCCTTACCATTGCTCATCCATGTAAGCTGGACATAGTTCTAGGAAACAGATGAGCAAAGTCCACACTGACTCAGAAAGAGAATGGATTTGAATAAATGCTTCAGAAAATGTCTACATTAGTCACACACATGTAGGTAGGCAAGCTCACGGGAGGCAGGGGCCCTGCAGAAGTCCCCTGTGGCACCCACCAGCAGCGTCTCCAGCCCTCAAGTCAGCATCTTAAGAAGGAGGGGGAGCCCTGGCCGGGTAGTTCAGTTGGTTAGAGCCCAGTCAGATATGCCAAGGTTTCCGGTTCCGTCTCTAGTCTGGACACATACAAGAAGTAACCAATGAATGCATAACAAATCAATCTCTCTCTCTCTCTCTCTCTCTCTCTCTCTCTCTCTCCTTCCTCTCTTTCTATAAAATCAATTAAAAAAAGAAAAAGAAAGAAAGATCAATGTGGGAAGAGTCCAGAGAATTCATGAAATACACTCAAAACCATTCAAATGCTATAAAGATTCGTTTCATAAGTATTTTCAGTGTTTTCTTTTATATGGGTATTTAATCTAATTTTGGGGCCATTTGTCAAGATGAAGCAGGCTTCCTATTTAGAGTTCCTGTGCACCGCCCCCATCCTGGCTCCCCAAATAAAGTTGGATTCTGAAATGGAAAGTGAGACAAGGGAGGAGTGATAAGAAGCGGATGTACTGACAGAGAGAGGTGGCTTATTTTAATGAGCTTGGTCCCTTAAGATTATCATACATACTGGTACACATGCATTAGTGTCCTTAAAAACCACAGCTTTATATGTGCTTTTTAAAAGAAGTTAATGCCTGCTTCTGGTATCCAATTCAAGAGATACAAAGGGGACACAGCAACCCCTTTGTCCCCCTGGTTCCCAGCCTCTCAGGTCCTCTCCCTAGAGGTCACCACTATGACCAAAGTGAAGATTTTTTTAAAGGAGATAATTATCCTGTCAATTTGGTTTTCCTTTATAACATGAATACATTTCTGTAGTCTTTATTCCTGGATAATTCCCTCTGAAATACCCTAAGATACAGGAGGATTAAAAAAAAAAAAAAAAGAGGTTTGGGGTATGACAGTCTTTACCTGTGAGGGTTTTAATTCAACTGTGAAACATTTTTTGTTTTTCTGCCCCATCCTACTTGACCAGAGGAGTTGCGTGAGGGTGGCGAGGGGAGAGGAGCAGCCTGTTCAGCATCTGTAGTCTCTAAATTTGTATAAGAGAAAGAAAACAAGACATGATTGAAGAAGTAAACATTTTTAACACCCGAGGAAAATCATCACTGGAAAAGATCAGGTGAAAAAGCAGAATGCTACCAAGTACTAAGCCATCTTTCAAGAGCTACAAGCAGCACTAGTGGGATAGCTCAGCTGGTTAGAGCATCGAACTGATACCCCAAGGTTCAAGCCCTGATCAGGGCACAAATGGGGGGTCAATCAATGGATGCATGAATAAATGGGACAACAAATTGATGTTTCTCTCTTTCTCTCTCTCCCCTTGCCTCTCTTTCTAAATCAATAAATAAAAAAATAAAGCTGCACCCTGACCAGTTTGGCTCAGTGGATGGTGCGTTGGCCTGCGGACTGAAGGGTCCCAGGTTCGATCCTGGTCACGGGCATGTACCTTGGTTGCGGGCACGTCCCCAGTGCGGGTGCAGGGGGTGTAGGAGGCAGCTGATTGATGTTTCTCTCTCATCAATGTTTCTAACTCTCTATCCCTCTCCTTTCCTCTCTGTAAAAAAAAATCAATAAAATATATTTTTTTAAAAAAATAAATAAATAAAGCTGCAAGCAAACACCATCATGGCAATGGCAGTTATTTCTGTTTCTGAATGTTGTCTGTTGGCCCTATGGGTGATTTCTGTAAGTTTCAAACTTTGTAAAATAAACAATAAGGATTTCTAGTCATAAAGATAAAGAAGTACTTTTAAGATTTATACATTGCATACTAGACTGTATTCTCTGGCCTTCTCTAAGGATATTGCCAACTTTGAGAATTCTTATACTTAATTTATCCTAAATTACTCTGATTTATGTACTGTGGCATCTACTATGTTCTACTTAAATTTGTTCAACAAACATTTAAATAGAGTTTAACCGATAATACCTATATAATTTCCATGCCTATCCCACAGTTTGGGAAATGGTACTTTTAATTTTATGCAGGAAATTCTGTACCAGTTCAATACATTTAAATTAAACTTGAATATTAAGGGTCTGATTGATTTGTTTTTATTTACTTTAAATATATTTTCATTGATTTGAGAGAGATAGAATGATGAGAGAGAATCATTGATCCGCTGTCTCCTGCACGCTCCCCACTAAGGATTGAGCCTGCAACTCGGGCATGTGCCCTCGACCAGAATCAAACCCGGGACCTTCAGTCCACAGGCCGACGCTCTATCCACTGAGCCAAACCAGCCAGGCCTGATTGGATTTTTCAGTGGGTGCACTTTGACACCTACAAAAAGCCTGAGAATGGACCACAGACACTAACAATATTCTACAAACTCCCCTGGCAGCAGCCACTGGACTTAATCAGCTTAATAATTCATTAACACTTGTAATGTTACTTTTCAATTGTATGCTGTGTGTACTTAAAAGTAAAAAGGACAAAAATAAGTTGGAGGGGGACAACATTTTAATTGTTTTCAAATGTTCCAATAAAACTGAAACGCATACACTCTTGCTCAAGAATGTCCTTGCCAGATTATTACATACTTGCTTGCCAAATCTCTCTAGCTTTCTCCTATTTTCTTAATCTTAGGAACTACAGACAATATTAAGGGTTGCTGGCTTGTCAGAACACATAAATGCTTTCAAAAGGCTTTTAAATGTTCAAATGTCATAGGAAGGAATGGGAAAAAAAATCAGATCTCCACTCTTAAAAACAAAAGTTTATGAGTCAGAAAATAGCAAAATAATCTTAAACTCCCAAGAAAAAGTAATTTTTTTTTTGCATTCATGTTTAAATAACCATTTTGTTATCTTCAACTGTAGTTCCTTCTGAGAACATCCCAATAAACGGCCAGTCTCTGTGACTCAGGAAATACTCTAACTTCTGATCCACTGATAGGAGAAGAAATATCACCACGGCCAGGAGGTCTCGCAGGTCACTATCTAACAGACGGTGGCACCAGCGCAGGCCCAGCTCCACTATGAGGGAGCGGTGGTTGTGCCTCAGCCATGACGCGTCTGCTAAGATTATTTCAGGCCATTGAATGACACCAGGTGGGCATCCTGCACGCTGGGTTCTGTATGAACAAGAGGGTGTCCTGTGTTCAACGTCGAAGCTTTGAATGATTACAGGGTAAAATGACAGCTTTCTCTGATGAACTTGCAATATTTTGCCGCATACTTGAAAACTAATATAGACACAACATCTTTTTTTAAAAAAATATATTTTATTGATTGTTTACAGAGAGGAAGGAAGAGGGATAGAGAGTTAGAAACATCGATCAGCTGCCTCCTGCACACCCCCCACTGGGGATGTGCCCGCAACCAAGGCACATGCCCTTGACCGGAATCGAACCTGGGACCTTTCAGTTCGCAGGCCAACGCTCTATTTGCTGAGCCAAACCAGCCAGGGCAAGACACCACATCTTTAATAACTTGGAAAAGTAAAGTGAAGAGCAGACATTGTTTTCTAATATACAGAAGTGGAAGGCAACAAAATGTTAGAGTAAATTTAAATATCATTTTTGTCTCAAGCGAAACTGTTTGATATGAATACCATCCTCCAAATATTCATAAGAACAATGTTATTTCAATCCTGATTTCTTCGAAGGTAAAAGAAAACTCAGCTCCTTGGGTTCAGGATTAGACCTTACAATGTACTGTTTTTTTTATTTTTGTTTTCGAAACAGCATAGATTTTATTATTTATTTATTTATTATTATTTTTTCCCATCACCGTTTATCTAAACCTCTATGTCCTCTTCCACTTCCACCACCCTCCTCCTCCTGTACTGTGTTTATAAACAGTATTTTAAAGAAAAACAACGACTATGACATCTGTTTGTCTCCATAAAGACAACAACCTAGCCCTAGCTGTTCGGCTCAGTGGATAAAGTGCCAGCCCAGGCCCAGGGACTGAAGGATTTTGGGTTTGATTCTGGTCAAGGACACATACCTCAGTTGTAGGCTCCATCCCCACCCCAATCAGGGAGCATGTGGGAGGGAACCAATTCATGTGTTACTTTCACGTAGATGTTTCTCTCTGTCTCTCCCGCTTCCTTCCACTCTAACCTTGGGTGAGGATTAACAACAACAACAAAAAGAAGAAATCTCATTAAAAAAAAAAAAGACAATATCATAGTCATAGGGCACCTTTCATGCACCTCATAGTATCTTATGATATAAGGTGGGAGTGGGGAAACTGAGTCAGGGTTAGAATCAAACTGTTGCTCTTACATGACCCACGAACACCAAAGCCCCAGGTATACTTAATTTAAGATGCACCCTTTGCTCTGGACTCAACTTGACATAATTGTTATTTTAAGTAAATGTACTTTCTCTTCCTCCTCCTCCTCCTCCTCCTCCTCCTCCTCCTCCTGCTTCTCCAAGTAAACGTATTTTAAAATATATTTTTCATCATAATTATCTCTAGTGGTAGAAGAAATTCATTACTCTCAGGGATCAGAAGGAAAGGCTTTCATTCCTAAGAGATCCAATGAAGGGGTGGTCTAGCCCACTAAACAGCTTCAGACATTCACAAATGCCAGGAGATATAATCAGAAGAAATAAAATTCCTAAGTAGACCTTTGCTCCTTCTGAGACACCCGAGAAGGCAGGTTTGCCACTAAGGCGAACACATGTGCTTTCTGTTGGGGGTTAAGACTGTGAGCTTTTCTTATCTATCCTCTTATTTACAGCTGAAGTAATTAATTAAAAACAAAATATCAAGCTATCAACTTGGTGGTCAAAGAAGAGAAGAATTCTTTGAGAAAACATAGTTTAGGAGAGAAATAACTGCCCTGGCTGGGTGGCTCGGTTGGTTAGAGTGTTGTCAGATATGCCAATTTTCAGGTTTGATCCCAGGTCAGGGCACATAAAAAAATCACCCAATGAATGCATAATTAAGTGGAACAATAAATTTTTCTCTCTGCTCTCCCTCTCTTTCAAATCAATAAATAAACATAAAAAATGAGGGGTGGGGGGAGGTGCCCTGCAGGCATGGCTCAGTGTTTGAGCCTTGACCTATGAACCAGGAGGTTATGGTTTGATTCCCCGTCAGGGCACCTTCCCAGGTTTCCAGCTCAATCCCCAGTAGGGGGCATGTAGGAGGCAGCTGATCAATGATTCTCACCGATGTTTCTCTCTCCCTCTCCCTCTCTCTGGAATCAATTAAAATACATATATCTCTAAAAAATTATTGTTTTTATATTAAACATTTTTTAAAGGAAGAAATATTTAAAAGGGGAAAATGGGATAATGCATTGTAGCACAGACTGAGTGAGGATCCCTCAAAGTGCAAAAATAATATTTTCCAAAGATTTTCTTTGTCTGTCAAATCACCTGCTTGGAGTTATTTTACATTTCTTTAAAACCTCCACGTTCAAAGTAAATAATTGTTAATAAGGGTTAAATTCAATCTCTTTAAAATCTAATCTTTTAAAAATCCAATCTTTACACGGAGAATGTTTCCTGAGAATCTGACATTTCAGTTAAGGTTGCAATCTTGTCAAAGTTGATCAAAGACGTCACATTGGAATATTGTGACCCTGTTTAGAAATCTTGCATCCTGTATGAATTCTGCTAGAGAACTTGAGTACAAATCGGGAACTTAATTTAAGGCAATTCATACTAAAAAAGAAACTTCTGGCCTGGTATGCTACTTTGAATCTTTGGTCTATTAACCCCTTCCCCAACAATTTTTTTGTTAAAAACGTTTCTTTTTCAGACTAATTTTTTTATTTTGGTTCTATATAGTATTTTTGATGCTGGTTATGAAAACAGTTTGTAACTCGTCTTCCTATAAACCATATTTTTTTTTTACCATATTTTCTTAGTATACTCGTCGACGACTGAAAAAGAACATTTTGTGAAAACGAGTATACACGTTTCTGCCGGGGAAGGGGTTAATAACGAAGAGAACTATTTTATTGTTTTTTTTTTATTTTTAAAAAATATTTTTATTGATTTTTAGAGAGGAAGGGAGAGGGCTAAAGAGATAGAAACATCAGTGAGAGAAACATTGATTGGCTGCCTCCTGCACGTCCCTTACTGGGGATTAGGCCTGCAAACTGGGCATGTGTCCTGACCAGGAATTGAACCAGTGACCCTTGGTTCATGGGTCGATGCCCAACCACTGAGCACACTGGCCGGGAGAGAACTGTATTTTTAAATTAGGGAAATGTACATTTATGCTGTTCCCAACTGTGACCCCAGTATCTGCGACCCCAGAGTGTCCACGATCCCCAAAACAAAGAATACGCATAAGGTCACCAGGACATCTTCAATCTGCAAAAGTGAGACTACAGTGGAACAGTCTCATAGAATAAAATAAGATGAAATAAAAAACAAAGTAAAGCAGTTTAATAAAACAATTAAATAACACTATGCAGATTTCCAGACGTTATGGAAATCCTCTACTGAGCTCTGAGCTCGTGGGGTGTGCCAGGCCAGCTGAGTAGCTGGATGAAATGGGAAACTCCACGCAGGAAGTGCTGCTGGTGCTAATTAAGGAATGTGGAACCCTTCCTTCTGAGTCAGCTGGGCGGTATGTGGGACTCTGTGCTGCTTACATGAGAATTGCAGGCGACTTTAGAAAGAAAACCAGAATATCTTGCCACTTAACATTTAAGAGGCAAGACGTGGTATGTGTGTGTGTGTGTTTAAATGGTTCCTAATCTTTAAAATGGCTCGTTGCAGCTGGCCTTTTATCAGCTGATTGTATTCCAGCATCATCTCCTCCTCTGATGGCACGGAGCTATCCCATAGAATAGATATGGGCCACTTACGAGCTCACATTTTCAGGTACACAGCCTTATCACAGCATTTTGACGATTCACTACTCTTACACAGCAATAAAAACATCTGTCAGCCCTCATTTTTTATTTCTTTTTGTAAAAAAAAAATCAAGTTAATTTCATTTATTTCAAATGTAATACAGGCACAGTATAAAGACATAATTCAAGAAAAAGAGGAGATAGGAAAAGGTGGTGCAGATCTCATAATCAAAAGACAACCATTTAAAATTTTGTATATGTGGCCACTAGCCATATAAGGCTATTAAAAAAACCTACATACAATTTTTTAAAAAATTAAATCTTTACTGTTGAAAATATTACATATATCCCCATTCCCCCCTTCCAGTCCACCCCTGCCCACCTAAAACTTTTGAAAGGTACACAAAAGTAGAGAGAATAATATTAAAATGAACCCTCATCCCCAACACCCAGTTCTGCAGTTTCAATTTGTTAAGCACATTTGCTTCAATTCTTGTTTTTCAAAATTTGTTAAAGTATTACAAATTCCAACATATTTTGTCATTCTCCTAAATGTCTCAAAAAATACATATACTTTTTCTAATAACCCATAATGCCACTATCATAGCTAATGAGTGTTTTCAGCAGATCCATACTAAAATTTCCCTGATCAGAAAACAAGTTTAAAATTTTAATGTGTACCTATATCCTCTCTTTTTGCTTACTAAAATATATATATATATAGTTTGTTAAAAAATACAATTTTGCATCTTGATTTTTTTTTCAGTTTGATATAACTATTTCCCAATAGCATATTTTTCAAAACTTTCTAATTGCGAAATGGCTGTGTGCAAGTGTGTGTGTGTGTGTGTGTGTGTGTGTGTGTGTGAAGTTGGGCGATGAGTTATTCCTCTCTTGGTCTGTTTCCTCGTTTATATGGAGCGAGTGTGTGTGTTTTTCTGCTTCTCACAGTCAACTTGTTGCCATGAATGTCTTTGTTCATAACACCTCTCCTTGGTCCAGGAGTGTTATTGCTGCACCCAAATGTATGAACACGGCCAGGCCCTTGACTCGTCTCCCCGAGTTGTTTACAAAAGGACTGTACCAATTTACACTTCCACTTACAAAGGATAAGAGCGCCGCTATTACAGTGTTTAAAGGCAGCGCTTTTCAGAGCTCGTATACAATCATTGGCTAGGGCTGGCTTATGTTTGTAACCATCTCAGAATAAATAAAGACACATTTTCCTCCAGCCCTGCAAACACGGCATGCGCAGACGGCCAAACAACCGCAAACTAACTTTGATTAGAAGAGAAACCGGTCTATTTGAAAATGTGGTAATGAGATAGTTTCCACCCCCCGGGAAGCCGTCCTGGCGGGGGAGGGGCGCTGCGTTCCTTCTGGCCTCTCTTCCCATCCTCAAGAAGGTAGAAATGAACAGGTCAGCGTTCTCTTCGTTTACTTTGCGATTTTCATTCTTTTTTATTTTTTTTAAAGCTGGGTATTTTATTTGCTTCCATCTGGCTGGGTTGAGGATGCAGAAATACGGCTGAAAACTCGCAGAAAACTTTGGTGGCAGGCGTTTCCTGTAAACGCAGCCCCACGGTACTGGGTAACAGAGGATTAAGGCAGAGCCATTTTAGCTTCGAGTCCAAATTCTACTCTGTTTCCTTGGGGACACGTTGTTCTTATTTGTTGACTTCAAATAAAATCGCCTCGGTCGCTGTTTATTTCGGTGCATAAAATTCTTATTTTCTTTAAAGAATAGAGCATATCAGTTACAGATCCTGGTAGAAAATTCAGTTGTATGGGGCTTGAGAAGTTTATGTGACAGATTTGTGTGTGTGTGGTTTTTTTTTTTTTTTTTGGAGTTAGGGAGAAAGAAAAAAAAACTCGTTGCTGTCGTGTTTATGGGAGAGAAACAAAAAGAGGAACTTGATAAGAAAATATTTAGCAGGATGGTCTTTAAAAGCCCAGCATCTGAATCTTTATTTTCTTTTTCTTTCTTCCTCTCTTTTTTTGGGGAGGTGAGGTGAGGTGGGAGGGAAGTTCAGGAAAGATGGTCCTGTTATTCTCATTTGCTTTTCACTGTTTTCACCCCACGGAGGCTCAAGTCCTTCCTCAAAGCAAGTGGGGACAAAACATAATCTCATATTTTTGAGAGAGAGCATGCAGGCGTGGTATGTTACATACATATATACTATATATTAATATATGTAAATAATTATGTATAATATATGTTGTATATATGTCAACAGAATGGGCTAACCACATTTTTTAAAGAGTCAAAGATTGCAGAGGGATTTGGTTAAGCTGAGGCTGTTTTAGAATAGGGACAGACACATGGGGAAGAGTAATGGCTAATGTCATTTTGACTGGCGTTTTATTGAGTGATCGCCACGGGCTAGGCAGTTTTAAGATTTCATCACAATTAGCTCATTTAATGCTCAAAAGTGCCCCATGTGCTGGGCGGCCGTGTTATTCCCAGTTTACAGGTGAGGCCCAGAGGAGGGGTCACTCGGCTGAGGTCCCCCGGGAGCGGAGCACTTGGATTCAGCCAGGTTCCGGGGCTGTTTTACTCAGTTCTGGTTCCTGGGACAAACCTGCTGTGTTGGCGTGGGGAGCTGCTGGGCCAAAGCCCCTCAGCTGAGAGCGGAGCGGAGTGGTGAGGGCGGGTAGCTCTGGGTCAGCTATTGAAATGAGGGCAGCTGAGCGTGGGTCTGGACTCAGGATTTGTTGATCACTTCAGCCTATTCAGGGCGTGGCTCTGACTTTAATCTCTCCCCCAGCATTTCCCCCCAATCCCAGCATCCTCTCTGAGGGCGTGGCCGGAGAGGGCACACTATATTCCGGAGACTTGGAGCTCAGCCAGTTCACTCTCGGGCCTCGCTTGGAGAGGATGCCCATCGGACTCCCGAAGGCCGGCGGTCTCCCAGCCCCCTGAGGAGCCACCCAGATCCTGGTATGTTCCGTGCTTGGTCTACATTGGTTGGTCTATGACTGCGAGTTATTCAAGTTCTGGAGCAGACAAATCTGGGTCCAAATACGACTCTCTCTCTTGCCCGCAGTGAACACACGCGCTTCTCTTTCCCAGCCCGGGAGTGAGGACCCCGCTGGGCCCTGCGGGGGTGAAACCCAGACCGGGCTGTGCAGGCCTGCGGGCTTCTGCCCGTGGGCAATGGTCTTCGTAATAATAGCATGTCTTCGTTGCGTGCTTGCTATGTGCCTAATTCCCCTGGAGAAGTTTACAAGTGAGGACTTGTTTATTCCATCCAAATATACTTGTTGGGAATGCTATTGCCTCCATCTGTAAAATGGGGACTCAGGGGCCAAGGGAGCCCAAGGGAGGTGGCAGAGGCCGCACACCCAGAGTCTTGGTTTGAACCCAGGAGCTCGCTCCCTGTATCGCCAACTCGGGCACAGCTTTCTCATCTGGGTGATGGGTGCTGAGTCTGCCTAGGTATCCAAAATGGTGCCTATCATAAGTATGTAACCAGTGTTAGCTGTTAGTATTCTCTATTTTCCTAAGGCCAAGGTCAACCACTTAGTATAGATAAGAATGGCATGAGTCAGCATGGGCTAGTAGATCAGGCTAGAAATCCACTTTATTCTTGTTGTAGAACCTCAAGGACCTTAGAGAAGTTGGTATAAGTCAGAAAGCAGGTTAAGCCCTGATGGCTACCGTTACCCCCCTCTATTCTGTTCTATCTCCCTCCGCCCCCCAAAATCTGGTCTTTACAATAACCCAACAACCCCATCTCAATTTTCTGACTTGTCTCCTCTTCTTCTTCTTTTTTTTTTCCAATTAGCAATAATCGCGCCTTGGATAAACCTCATTGGCACTTCGCAAAGCTTTGTCTCCTCTTCTTACTCCACACACGCCACAGCAGCGTGCTGGCTTCCTTGCTGTTCCCTGAGCCACTGGGCACATTGCCTCCAGGTCTTTGCATGTCAGTGCCTTAGCCTGGAATGCCCTTTCCCCAGCACTCCGCATGGCTCTCACTGTTCCCCCTTCAGGTCTGGATCTGTGTCTTCACCTGTGCAGTCCTCCTGGACTAGCCCATTTAACATCATCCCCACCTCCTCCTTCTACCCTCTTCACACAGGTAAGTAACAGCACATACCCTTCAGCCATATGCCTGCCCCAAGGCACCTAAGGCGATAGGCTCTTATTTTTCTCCATAGCATTAACATTTGATACACGATAATCTTGCTTAATACACTATGTTAACTCCACCAGGCTAGGGTTGCTTTCCTGCGGCATCCCCCGGCACCTAGAACAGTGGCTGGTCCATGGAAGGTGCTTAGTAACTATTGGATGAGTGAGAAAGTAAGTGAATGAGTGGATGACAGAATCCAGGGGCATGTTTATTTAATTAAACAGAACAGCTGTGTATTGGGACACTTCCTGTGTGCGGCCATATTCCACAATGTGGAGGAAATGGGCCCTCCCTGTGAGGGGCCTGCACTGTAGTCAGCTGGTAGGACGAGCGCACATCCAGGTCGAGGCATAACCCAGCAAATGTCGTAAAGGAGACACTGAACAAAGGGTGGCTGACCAAAGAGACAGTGAGGGCACTGGGAGTGGGCCTGGGGGCTGGCAGGAGGGGTGCAGACTGATTGTGGCACATAGTTGGCATGTGGTTTAGGGAGAGTTAGTGAGGCAGAGGGAAGGGGGTCAGGCAGCGGGCACAGAGCAAGGAGATGGGTAAGCAGAGTGGTTTCTTGAGTGTTTATCTGAAGCTTAGTATATGGAAATCCTCAACATTTTATTCCCCAGGGCGTTGAACGGTTTGGGATTCTGTTAATTTAGAGAAAGTTTATTTCTTGATTTTAATGAGAGAAAGAATAATCAGTTATTGTTCCATTTATTGATGCATTCATTGGTTGATTTTTGTATGTGCTCTGACCCAGTGGGACCAGCAATCTTGTATTGGGACAGGCTTCAACCAACTCTATTCCCACAGGGCCATTTTAAGCCCCACCCAACTCCTTCCACACTGCCTAGGCCACGCCTCTTCCTGTCCTGGAGGCCCGCCCCTCAGTGGGATTCTATGTTAATAGGCAGCTATGTTTTAATTATACAGGTAAAATATGATTATGTTTTACCAGTAAAAAGATAAAAATATTTAGCCACCACCAGACGGTCCTGGATCCTTGTCCACACTGAGAATCACTTTTGGTAAGGGTCTTCCCAATTTTCATATATTTTCATATTTCTTTCCTTTTTTCTTTTTTAAAAATATGTTTTTATTGATTTTAAACAAGAGGAAGGAAGCGGGAGAGAGAAAATTGATGAAAGCCCTAGCTGGTTTGGCTTAGTGGATAGAGCATCCGCCTGCAGACTGAAGGGTCCCGGGTTGATGCCAGTCAAGGGCACATGCTTGGGTTGCCAACTCGATCCCCAGTAGGGGCCCCACAGGAGGCAGCCGATCAATGATTCTCTCTCATCATTGATGCATCTCTCTCTCTCTCCCCCTCCCTCTCTAAAATCAATAAAAATATATTAAAAAAGAAAATGGACGAGAGAGACTGATCTGCTGCCTCCAATACACCACCTACGGGGGACCGAGCCCACAACCTGGGCATGTGCCCTGACTGGGAATTGAACCAGTGACCTCTTGGTGCATGGGACAATGCTCAACCACTGAGCCAGGCCGGCTGAGCCTTTCTTTCTTTCTGTTTATTTGCTTATTTAGGGACAATTGACATATAACTATATTAATGTCAGGTATGTAACATAATTATTTGATATTTATGTATTATGACATGATCAGCATATATATTTATGTGCATGTAAACATAGGTATGTATTTATGCATAGTATATGTATATACACATACATACCATATATTATATACACATATACATGTTTTTCTTTTAGAAAATATATTATGTTATGGTGTGTGTGTTTAAACAAAAAATGGTATACCTTTTTGCAGCTTGATTCCTTTTTTTGTAAACTTTTTTTTTATTGCTTAAATATTTCAAAGGGTAGTACATTTGTCTCCTTTTTTCCCCCCCTTAACCTTACCCCAGTCTCAGCTACCCTCCGGTTCAGGGGTCCTCAAACTTTTTAAACAGGGGCTGCCTTTGCTGGCGAGCCTGCTGTAGTTTGACAGTCTGTTTAATGCTCTGACTCTTGATTCCTTTTTAAAATTTTTTATTTAACGATGTCTTGGTGATTTAGCCACATGGGTACATGTGGCCTTACTTCATTCTTCCCAGGGCTGTCTATTATGTTTGGAGATACCATAGTTTATGTGGCCATTTTCCTTTGATGGATGTGTAGGTGGTTTCTAATTTTTCACGATTATAAATAAACAGTGCTGCAGTGAACATCCTTGCGTCCCTGAGGGGTTATTTATTACTCTAGAGTAGGCATTATGATTATATGCTTCTCTATTTATTTATGCTTTAATTTGTTTAATGCCTATTTCTCCTATTAAAACCTAAGTTCCACAAGGACAGAAATACAATTTGTTTTGTACCTCACTCTTTAATTACTCCCTTAGTCAAGTGCCTGGGACAAAGGAGTCCTCAGTAAATATTTATGGAGTGAATTGGTGAAAATGTTGGCTGGGGTCACGGGTTGGTTTTGCATCCTGAGAGGCGGGAACAGTGACTTATGTTGGCACAAGGTGAGATCTTGGCACAGGGCAGCAGCAGGTGGCTACTAGGGGGTTAGGAAGAAGCGTTCTGGGCTCGAGGAAGACAGGTCCGGGCGGCCTGGCGATGAGATTCCTGTACTGATCAGGAAACCGGAAACAAGGAACAGGAAGGAAAGGGTGCAGTTGAGAGCTCTGGGGATGGTAGGATCCGTAAGATGTGCTAATTGACTAGCTCTGATGGAAAGGCAGGCGTGGAGGGTTAAAACCTAGTTTAGGACACTCATTTTTTAAACATTTATTGCCTCCCACTTCTTTGCAAAAAGCACTGCTAACTGCTTTCGGGACATGAGTTTGCACAGCCTTTCTCCCCTCCCCTCAAAGAGGAGCTGCAGTCTATTGGGGAAGATGGACACATGCACAGGTACAGCCGGCATGCGAGGGAGTGACTGGGGGGGAGGGGACTTGACCGGGGCCACACCAAGTGGACTCCTGCTGTTCCAGAAACGGGCGGAGGGGCAGATCTTCTCCCTGGCCCCAGGGCCACACACGCCGACTGGTGAACATTCAGGAAATGGGGTGTCCAGAAATGTGTGTCAGTGTACATTTTTAGAAATTAAGGACATTTAGGTTGGTGACAGAGCTGAGGGCTGGCCTCCGTGGAGTCTGGAAGACAGGACACGCACCGAGGCCTGGGACCTCAGGCAGGCTACTCCCCCACCTGGTGCCGCAGTTTCACCTTTTTAAAGAAGGGCAGTTACAACAAAAAGGGCGGAGATTGATAAGATTGCAGCGAGCCCAGCGACAGGTGCCCCTATCAGTGACATTTCTGATTCTGTGGCCGTGCCCTGGACATGAGGACAGGAAGCTGGCCATTGAGGTAAAGGACTGCGGGTCTTAGTTTTCATGCCTCTTTGTGTAGCCAGGAGATCACTGAGGGAATAATTCGTTGAGGAAGAAACCCTTCAAGTTTAATAATTCTCATGCTTTTACTTCCATTTCCTTTCAGTGGCTTCCCGGGTGCCCTTGGAGTAAAATCCAGTCTTCACAGGCCAGGGGATCCTGCCAGCCACGGTCTCAGAAATTCTGTCCTGATCCTCAGAGACATTGGGAGTTTTAGGCAGGGCCCTCTTGTACTCAGGGTTGACTTGTGAAAAGCTCAGTGTGACAGGTCTATGATTTCTGCTGGAAAGGTAGTTCTTTGAACGTGGAGTTCACGGCC